CCCCCCCCCCCCCCTTTCCCGCGCCCCAGACACCTCCCCACTCGTCGCCGGTACAAACCTCGCTCCCTTCCCTTCCTCCCTCACTCATAGTCCCTCCCCCCCTCCCGAAGAAAATCGTTCTGGATCGCCCTATGTTCTAAGGAAGTGCTTTCTGTCCACTTAGAATTTAAAGATTTCAAATTTAGCTCCTAGTTATGTTTAGTTCTTGCGTGCGAACTTGTGAGGGCGAGAAAACGGAAAAGCTAGAAAACTAAAATTTTGGAAAAATACTCAGCTCATGTGCAGTGCAAAAATTTCAAATTTTTTAAGTGAGCTTGGCTCTCGTCTGTGGGCAAGTCAAATTTTTGGCTGCAAAATTGCTAATTCAGGGATCAGGTAACCTAAAAAGCTGAAATTTTAGGGTGATTTTCCCTGTCCTCATGTGATGTAAAGGATTTAAATTCACTTCCTAAGTAAGCCGTCAAGGAATAGATATCAAAGGTTGAACCCTGCCGAATATAACTTGAATTTGCTCTAGTTCTTTAGGTTGCGACAAATTCTCTGTCTTTCTGAATATTTATAAATCTCAATGGAAACATAAGCAGTCTCAAGGAATCTCAAAAAGGACATTGATCTGATTATTCTTTTGCAGAATATATTCAGCAAGCACCAGAAATCTTACGATCCTTGCTTGAACTGAAGTGCTTGCCACCTGGATCGCAAGCTGCCGACATATATGCGCTCGGCATGGTTCTCTACCAGATATTATTCCGTGTCGCACCATTTTATGAACTTACGACCTCTAAGAAAAGTAAAAATTTTGGTGCAGGGCACTAACTGAATTATGATTGTTTGATGAGATACTAAAATCCGACGTGGGAGGACTGATCCAGGATTAGAAATCGGCTACCAGCTACTAAACACACTCTAAGAGTCACTAGCGATCAACTGGCAAGCAGTGCAGCGAGAGTATTTCACTACTGAACCTTTCATTCATCCACGAAAAATGTTTTGCATGCTCAGGAGTCGCTGAAAAATGTGATTTTGTTTCTCTACTTTTGAAGAAAAAAGACATACTACCAAAATTTGTTTTGTTAGCTAAAAAAATAAGGCTTCCAAACCTCTCATTTTTTAAGTAGAACTTTAATTAAATGTGTAGCAGCGCATGGATGAGGTCATCTTGAATACATGTTTCTCTGAATAACTGTTTTAGGTTCGCAATACTAGATATGGCTTAGAAAGCTGAATAGATATAACGCAATGAAATCTTGCAATTTTGAGAATAAATTGTTTGACCCTGCACTTGGTCTTAACGTGAAAAGTCAACCCTCAGTTTGCTCTCGCTTTCGCCTTTCCGAGTTCAAATTAATGAAGAAATTTCGCAATTAAAGGTCAAAAAGTACAAGATATTTGAGAACCGGTGCAAAAAGCTCATCAGCTCGAGTACGGCCGAAAACTAAAGGCGATTACCAAGCTGCTTTACGCCCTTTCTTGTTGCTTACAAAATTTTGCTTGAATTTCCGTCAATTAAACTTCCTATTCGTATTTGAAACAATTTTCGAAAATAAACTGCATGTCTTTTCGACTCCTGAACCTAGCGCGAACGAACAAAATTTACGATTTAGCGTCATGTTAACACTGTCACAGCATGCATTCCAGATTTCTAGCCTTCATGTGTTGATAGCATGGAGATAGATCCGGAAATTGTTTTTTTAAAAAAGTTATGTTTTACTTGAAGAAAACTGTAGTCATAAAAACTTATTCTTTTGCATATGCAAGAAATATCATTGTTTCAGACAGTAAGTTGTTTTGACAAAGTCTAGAATGAATAGTTTAAACTGAACCAAATGTTATTTTGCAGGGTTAGTGGAGAAAATAGCGCATGGTGGGAATGAGGAGTGCATCCGGCCAACGTTCCCATCAGTTCCGCATGAATCTTCCTACAGTCTCCCTCTGCTAAATGCCATTGAAGTAAGAAGTCTACATAAATTTGTGATTCATATGTGAAATCTAGTCCAGGTTGGTAGAAAGAGTGGGAAAGACACAAAGCGTGCAATCTTTAATAAATTTCCGAGTTATTAAGAAACCTCTCTAGATAGGGCTGAAGGATCATGAGCATTAGCATGTGGTCCAGTACAAAAGTATTTGCAGTAACCTGCACTAGTGGAGTGGCGTTATCTCGAAAATCTTAATCTTTCCTGTTGAACGTTCTTTGAAAAAGATATTAACTTTTTAAACGCTGTAATATCGCTTTTCTGGAAAAGTGAAATTGCTCCGTTTTTAATTTTGCTTGACTGAAACTGCCCACTTAAGAAAGAGAAAACAGTCCTATTTTTGACTGGAACGGCCAACTTCATTTAAGCAGTTACAGTTAAGCGATTGCTGTAAATCTTACATGCCTATTCTGATTGCTTGTGGTAGCATTAGCTAAGGCCAGCTCTTTTGCACCTTTTTTAAAAGTCATCAGATAGGTTCTATAACTTGTCGTAACAACATCTGTCGATAAGCTTTCACTGGTAAAACATTTGCAGACCTGTTGGGTGGAAATACCGGAAATGCGCCCGAATATCAAGAAGATGAAAACAATTGTCAATTCGAACCTAAAATCAACGTATTTTTTTCCGAATTGCATTTTAAGGTCAAAATTACACTCAGAATGAAGTAGAATCTCCGCCACTTTTAACTGTTGCGAGGCCGCTTGGATTATTAGAAAAACAGTACGGCAGAAACGATAACAAAAAGGCCCTAACTTATTGGAAATGAGGGCAAAAGAAAATGCTTTGTTTCGTTTGAGAAGCCAGCAGTTCGGGTCTGCTATTTTAAACAACTTCCTGCTTTTACTGTAAGAGATTCCAAAGTTTTCTGCTCGTGGAATTAAATTATTTTCAGAGGCGGTGGCTCACTTGTTGATCAAATGATGAAAATGATGGAAGATGCAAGTTTCTTCCTTTGACTTTGAAAACATTATTTAAAATGATCATATAAACAACCAGACTCTCTGCCGGATGGGCGACGTGCAGGATATCATTGCAACCACGCGAAAGTAAAATCCGTTGAGCAGGACATTTTGCTCGTCTTACCGATAGTCGGTGGGAAGTGTGCGTTAGTGAGTGATATTCACGTGATAGTAAGCGACCACTCTCAAAGTCGTGCAAATATATCGAACAGGCGGTGGGTACTAGCTGAAGGCATGCAGCTCAGAATAGATGACAGAGTCGACTCGTGGTGTGGGAGCATCCTATTAACATTGCTAGCAGGGGATACCGACACCAATAACTAGAGCGGTCTTGGCATTCTTGTTAATTAATAAGACCATAGCGGAATAGAAGTGGTGCAGATTCATTTCGATGCTCTGTGACTATCAGCCTTCTAGCCTTCATGTTTCTAGAAAAGAAATTCTGTCATCTTGTTGAGGTGAACTGTTCATGTCCAATAAGCCTAGATAAGACCATCGATATCCGGAGAACGGAGACAGAATTTCTCAAGTCCGTTGAGTTAAAGCAAAATGTGAACGCCTAGTAAGCTGGAGTCAAGTAAGAGTAGTAGTGCAGCTCAATATTTACAGTACACAATGAATTTGGAAGCAATGGTCAAAGATCGAACGGCGATGTTGGAGGAGGCGCAACAGCAAGCTGACCGATTGCTGTACAACATGTTACCAAGGTTAAGCTTCCCCGATTGAATGGATCTCTTTCCTCGCAGTGTTCACGTCACGTCTCCAATTCTTACTAGTAGTTCCTGATGACTTGGATATTTAACGTGTAATAAATATGAGCCTTTTAATTCACGATTTTGAAGATCGGTGGCGGACGATCTCAAAGTTGGTAAGTCGGTACCGCCACAGCTGTATCCCTGTGCCACCGTGCTATTTTCGGATATCCGCGGCTTCACACGTTTATCGTCCACTTCAACGCCATTCCAGATTGTGCAGTTTCTTAACGATCTTTTCTCCGGCTTCGATGATATCATTGCCAAACATGATGCTTATAAGGTTCACTTACTGTTCATTTCTCTACCTGGGAATCACCCAGCCAAAACCGGCTCAAGTTTGGCGCACTTCACTTATTATGAGTTTTTGCAGATATGCAAATTGCAAAAACGTATACTGGCAAGAGGCTGTATGTGTGTGTGTGTGTGTCTGCGTGTTCGCACTTTTTATCACCCACCTTCAACTCGAGAACCAGAAAAGCTGGAAGGCTGAAACTTTGGGAGTATGTGCCCATACCATGCGCGACCCTCCCGTTTTAATATCATCCCGCGCTTACTCCTGGGTGCCGCGTACGGAAGCCTTATAAAAATATGCCAATTTTTTGGCGGAAAGTGATCTCGGGAACCAGTCAAGGTAAAGGGCTGAAACTTTGCAGGGATATTCCTTGTGCATGTGTGAGCTAGAAATTTCAAACTTAGCCTCCAGATACGCGTGGTACTCACGCAAGGACGTATGAAGTTGTTGGCGGGAATATACTAACTCAGGAACCAGAAAAGCTAGAAAGCTGAAATTTTGGGGCAATGTTCTCTCTTCAAGTGCAACTTAAATATTTCAAATTCAGCCTTCAGTTATGCGTGGTTCTCATGCACGAGCAAATATAAGATTTAATGGAGGAAAATTGCTAACTCGGTAATCAGAAAAGCTGAAAGACTGAAATTTTAGAAGGATGTTCCCTGTCCGCGTGCAATTTAAAGATTTCAAATTCAGCTTCTCAATTGCCTGGGGTACCAGCGCGCGGGCGCGTGAAAGTTTTGGCGAGAAAATTACTAAGTTGGGAACCAGAAAAGCTAGAAAGCTGAAATTTTAGGGGGCGTTCTCTGTACAATTACAACTTAAATTTTCCACATTCAGCCTTCAGATATGCGTGGTTCTAATGTATAGGCACTTATAAGTTTTGGCGGGGAAATTGCTCACTGAACAACTAGGTTACCTTTAAAGAACGACTGTTAAATGGAATTGTTTATTTACTTTATGCAAAATTTATAGTGAATTACACTATTGGGCGGAAAATGTAGGTGTAAAGCAATAATCATTTATGCAGTTAATGACCTGAGTACTTCAAATGTGGTGCAAAAACGTATGATCGCACCGGCAACTCCAGTACGTTTCTACCAGGGTTTTTAAGTATGGCAACCATTTTGTTGCTTTTAGTTTGTTTCACGTAGTTAAGTTTAGTTTTAAATTTAGCTAGCATAATGGTTACTCTGAAACGTAAAGTATTTCAAAATAGACTACAATCAACAAGCTTATTTTTCGTACTTATCTTTTTGCCATGTGATAGTGTTGCGTTGTTCTACTTGTTAAACATCAGTTATAATGCACTGGTTATATAACTCCTAAGTAGCAAAGCAGCAGGTTTTTCCCGCGCGTTCATGCGTGACTCCTAAGGCAGTCGGGTCGTTAAAAATATAAATGATTGTTACCTTACAGTTTAAAATATCCACTCATGTTGATAATGTTTTTGACTTTTCTTTTATGTTGGGGAGGTGGGGCTTCGGCTAAGACAATAGTATTATTACGGGGCCGCGTGAAATCGTAACCTCCAGCATGCATTTCTGATGCTCAGTCATTCATTGAAAATGCAAATTGGGCAACGAACATGATTTCGAGAGAGAAAGATGACGAGCGAGATGCATGCCTGTTTGAGACTGGGATAAAACTGAGCACTTGTCATATTCGTGTACACAAATCATAGGTTTCCTCGGGGGTGGGGATTAGCTCTGGTTTTAGCTTTAAACCCGGACTTTTGTAGCGCTGGGCCTGTGCCGTTGGAAGACTGAGGGGGCAAAAGACCAATCGTCTTCCCTTTGGATCCGCCAAGAATTTTGGCCTCCAAACTGAATTTAGACCACATGTAGAATATTTCCGCAAAATTTCAGTCTCGGCTTATCCGGTACCGAAATTGCGATTTCGCTACAAATAACTTTTAAGCGCTTTAAGTGTGGGGCAAGCGCAGTCCAAAACTCTATTTAAGTTTATGATTTCCCAGATGGACCGCAAACATTTAAACAAAAATATACGTATTTCTTTCCGGCTAGTCCTCGAGTCACGGTACTAACAGAGAATTTGGTATGATCAAACAAGTGATGCAAGTGCACGCAGTAGCTTATTTGAAATTTTGGAAGCGCGCAGTAGCTTACAAACACGGACAAAGAATTCCCGCGCAAAGTTCCAGCTTCCTACTTTTACCAATCCCCGAAATCGCTTCTTATCAAAAAATTTACGTACTTTTTCCAGGTGCCAGTATGTGAAACCTAGGTGCACGTGAGCGTTGATTTTAAAGCGGAAAGGATAGGGATATAGAGTATATGCTCCTATAATTTAGTATATGCTCCTATAATTTACTAAGCTGGAAGCTGAAACTGAAAGTAAGTAACACAAGTTAAAAGTAAGTGACAAAGTTCATTCGCTTTTGAACACACACACATTCACAGATAACTTCTTCACAGTGTGCATTTTTGCACTTGCGTAAGATGCAGGAACGCATAAAAAGTTATATAATCAGTAAAATTGGGCGATATCGAGTAAGTGACACGCACGCATCGAATAGGCAGTAGGCATTAATGGAGCTACGCAGCTTAGGGTCGAAAGGCACGTTACGTTCGACACTTGGAAGCATTCCATTAACACCATCAACTTAAGGCATCAGTACTGATAGGCCAGGTGGTTTTGCTGGTACACAACTCCCTAAAACATGCAGCAAAAAATAACCCAGGCTGGAACGCACCAGGCGGGCCGGTGCGATTATGCGTTTTTGCACTTTTCGTACC